TGATTGATTTTAAACACTCACCTGGTTAAACAGCATGAAGGCAGCTGCAGCACAGGTGTCTGTAGCAGCAGAGCTGATGATCTGAGTCCGTGTTTAGATGTTTGTGTGTCCCTCAGCAGACGAGCGCCAGCATCTACCTGATCAACCTGCTGGTGGCCGACCTGCTGCTCCTGCTCGCGCTGCCCTTTAAGATCACGAAGGACCTCGGGGTGGCGCCGTGGAACCTCATGGTGTTCCACTGCCAGGCCAGCGCCGTCACCATCTACATCAGCCTCTACGCATCCATCGCCTTCCTCGCCTTCATCATCACGGACCGCTACCTGCAGGTTAGTGAGCACCACGCACCGTGCGGTCTTTCTGATGGGTTTAGATTGAAATCGTTTTCAGACGTCAGAAACAAGAATGTGAGTGTCGTCCTGCAGGAATGCCACACTGTGCGCTCTCTGCGGCTACAGGAGGTCGGCTTCGCCCGGCTGCTGTCGCTGGTCGTCTGGCTGCTGCTGCTGCTCATCATGGTGCCCAACATGGCCCTGCCCATAAAACAGGTCAAGGTAAGGCAACAGTCCTGACAATAAAGCCTCTGTGACCGTTGGAGGTGCATGATTCACGTGTGTAAAGTGCACCGTGCAGGCCGGCGGCGGCTCTTGGAGGCGTTTTGGAGGTGACACTGTGCCTCAGACTTGTGTTTCTGTTGCTCCTGCAGGAGCAGACCTACCTCAGCTGCTCTTCTCTGAAGAAGGACATCAGCCTTCACTGGCACACCCTCACTGTCTTCCTTTGCATGGCGCTCTTCCTCAACGCCTCCGCCGCCACGCTCATCTCCAGCACCCTGGCTGTCAAAAAGCTCCTGCGCAGCCGCAGCGACCCCAAACTCTGGGCGAACGCCAGGAGGGTGGCGGCAAGCGTGGCGGCTGTGGCGTTGGCCTATGTATTCAGCTTCGTCCCCTACCACGTGGTCCGCACGCCGTACACGCTGGCCCAGACCAAACTCATCACAGACTGTGAAACCAAGAAGCGGCTGTTTCTGGGGAAGGAGTCCACTCTGCTGCTGAGCGTGCTCCACCTCTGCTTCGACCCGCTCATCTTCTTCTACCTTAACGCCCCGTTCAGACACACCATCAGGAAGCTGTTTCCCTGCCTCGGAAACCACGCCATCAGAGACGCAAAGGAGGAGGCGGCAGAGGAAATGATGCAGCCGGCGACCTCTGCACAGCAGGAAGCTGCATGCTAACCGCACCATCTCCTCCAGGACGGTACTTAGCTTAGCACAATGACTGGAAACGGTTAGCTTAAAATGCTCTCTTGAAAGACTACAAACATGGACTAAAGACTTACAGATGCTCCTCCATGTGCAACAGGATT